GCTCAGCCTGTAATCCTGCGCCTTTGGGAGGCTGAGGTGAGTGGATTGCCTGAGCCTGCGGGTTCAAGAACCACCTGGGCAGTGAGACCTCATCTTTACAATAAATCAAAAAATCAGGCGGACGTGGTAGCGCATGCCTGTAATTCCGGCTACTCGGAAGGCTGAGGCGGAAGGATTGCCGGAGCCCAGCAGGTTGAGGCCGCTCCTGGCCACCGCACTCCAGTCTGGGCGACAGAGCGAGACTCCAACTCAAAAACAAACAAACAAACAAAAAACGGGCAAATAAGTGTATATAAATCTTGCACAATCTGTAAGTACTTTTATACATATTCATATTAGATTTGTTTTTACTTTGTCTGATCTAGAGAGGAAAACTGAGGTAAAGCAGCTGATACTGTATCAGTATCATACAATGAGTTGAAATGGAATCCCTGCAAGGAAAATGAGCTTTTGTGATTTTTATTTGACCACGAAACCACGCCACTCATTTGGCATCTGTCCTACTGCTTTCCCCTTATATGTCCCCTATTAAAATGGAGTACCTGTATGTTACAGTAATTTTTCTTGGAGATGAAGGAAACTTGAACAGGGAAGAAGTCATTGGGCTGCCCTGCAATGCTAAACTCCAGGCTGCCACTCTTATTTTTGGCATCAATCACTGGCAGGCACCACTCCAAGGTATTTCGTCGACTGTCATGTCGGTACTCCCCATCGATCTCACCAATAACAGGTGCGCCGACACCAGATCTGTCATGAGAAACACCCAGTCAAGTTAGCTGTCCAGAGGTAGAAGAATTCAACCAAGGAAAATCAACCCCAAATTTGATTATGCTCCTCAAATTCTGCCCTCTAGTAATACAATTTTTATGCAGTCCTAGAAAAAAATTAGGTTCCCTAATAAAGGATCAAACAACATCTTAGCACCTTGGCTAATAGTCTCACTCAATTCTTATTACAGATACAGAAATATGCAAAAATAGGTTATCTGGCAGATGTGCCTGTCAATTGATCCAAATTTTTTTTTTTTTTTTGAGTAGGAGTCTCACTTTGTTACCCAGGCTAGAGGGCAGCGGCATGCTCATGGCCACCACAGCCTCGACCTGCTGGGCTCAGATGATCCTTCCACCTCAGCCTTCCAATTAGCTAGAACCACAGCAATGCGCTACCATGCCAAGCTAATTTTTTTTTTTTTTTTTATTGTAGAGATGAGGTCTCACCAAGTTGCCCAGGCTGGTCTCCAACCCCTGGACCCAGGCAACTCACATCTGCCTCCCAAAGTGCTGGGATTACAGGAGTGAGCTACTGTGCCTGGCTGATCCAATTTGTAAACTAGATCTAGGAGCAAGCAGGGGATTGAGACTGGCAAACATGTAAGAATGATTTGTTTCCAAAAATCCCACACAAATGGTTTGTTGCCCTGTCAAGAAGCAATTTTAACATAATGCACCTCTCTTTATAGGTGACAATGGGGAAATAAAGTAGGCTGGTAATAGAGGGAAAAACTTTAAACATCTATAATGAAGATGAATTTGGGACTTTGAAAGGATTTGTTTTCAAAAGATTTTAGAATGTTTCAACTTATTGAAGTTGACACCAGCGAGTTTATTCGATTTACCATCCAGTAAATGGACTTTTATTTGATAAGTGAAAGCACAATTATCCCCAGGCGAAATGGAAACATGATGGGAAAAAAGAAATATATAGTTGTCCTTAATCTGCAAGAGAACCAGAGCTAGTTAGGATGTACTTTGTACCCCCACACATGGCCGACAGGCAGTTTTTCCTACTCCTACACATTCTAAATTTACCATCCTTTAATTCACCAGTGACACTCAATGCTTGTATTAGGGGCAGGGTAAATAAGGGAGACAAAGAAAACTTTAAGGATGGCACAAGACTATTAACTCTTCCCTATCAATTTCATGGTCCTGGTTCTTTTATGTTCCTCCTCTGTGCCCTTGCTCCAAGTCTCTTCTAATTTGGTCAGTTCTAGACAGTGGGGTAAAATGTTGTCTAAGGGTCTCTTCTGGAGACCACTGCAAAATTGAACTAAAACACAGGAAACCACCACAACCACAATTACAGAGTAGATGAAGAGGCCTAAAAATTGTGGCATTCTAAAAATAGTTAGTAAAATAAATCTTGGCAAACAAAACCCCACCTGTCACCAACACCCAAGTCCTACAATGGTTACTTTTTAAAAGTAACCACACTGTGAATAAGATGGTTAATAAAGCACCTTTTAAAAAATGGAAATAAGAATGACCAAAACAAGACAATGTTTAAAAGTCTGAATTTTCAAAAAGGGAAAAAAACTACAAATTAAATTAGTGCCATTTTCCCGGCAATGATAACCGAACAACGTAACAGTAAAATACACCACAGATACATTTACTGGTATTCATAATTAAACCCTGTACTTAATCATGGAGGGTTGGTGGATAGAGCAGAGGAGTTGGAATTCACTAGTGAAGTAATAACAGTGCATACTCATAGGAAATGCTAGTGGGGAGATAATCCTAAGGCAGAGAGTATTTCCAGATGATCTTAGAAAGTGGGTCATTTAAGTGGACAACAAAAACTTAGACTAAACTTGTGGGGGTGACAGACATCTGTTATCTTGACTATGGTGATGGTTTCACAAGTGTATATATGTCAAAATAGTACAATTTAAATATGTGTAGCTCAAGCATACCTCAATAAAGCTGTTAGGAAATTTACTGACACTAATATAGATATCTTGTTTCAGCAAGAATCAGTAGTTCCTTAACACACACACTTATCTTTAGTCAAAGTTTAGGGAGCAAGTGAAAAAGAAAAATTCAGTCTGATAGACCTATGTTCTTTGAAAGTTGCAACATAAAACAGAGTTTGACTAAGAAGTGGCTCCTCCTTCTGGAAATATTCATTACTACAGGAACAAGTTGAGGACCAACTGTTGTTTTTTTTTGGTTTGGCTTTAAAGTCAGTAAACTCCACCCCTTTTAAAGTGCTCAATGCATTTCAACAAATGTATGCAATCTTTTTTTTTTTTAATTCTCCCCCATGTATGCAATCTTACAAGCAACACCACAATCAATTCATAAAACATCTTAAAATTTTTTATTTATTTGTAAATATGGAATGCTTCCTGAATTTGCATGTCATTCTTGCATAGGAACAATGTTTTCTGTATCATTCTAATTGTAGTATTTCTGCTGCCAAAGCAAGATCAAGTCATAGATCATTTCTGTCAAAAGTTTGCTTGTGTCCCCCTGCAATCAAGTACCTCCTTATCTGTCTCTTGATCTTTGTTCAAGAGTATTACCTTTTCCAGAAAGTCACAGAAGTGGAATCATATAGTATGTAGCCTTTATGTCTGGCTTCTTTCACAAACAGCCTTTTTAAGAAGCAAATATTAGCTGGATACAGTGGCTCAAGCCTGTAATCCCAGCACTTTGGGAGGCAGAGGTGACAGGATTACCTAAGTCCATGGGTTTGAGACCAGCCTGGGCAACATGGCAAGACCTCATCTCTACAATAAATCAAAAAATTATCTGAGAGTGGTGGCGCACACCTGCAGTCCTAGCTACTTGGAAGGCTGAAGCAGAAGGATTGCCTGAGTCCAGCAGGTCGTGGCTGCAGTGGCCATGAGCATGCCACTGTACTCCAGCCTGGAGTGAGACTCTGACTCAAAAAAAAAAAAAGCAGCAGCAAATATCTTAGCATATGTAGCCAGTTAGGTGCTGCCTCTGAAATGAGTTCCAAAAGACCAGAGTTCTACAATTCCAATGTAGGGAACGTGATTACACAGGGGACACCACTTACGGGAGTGGGATGGTGATAACCACGTCGTTCAGTTCTAAATTATCTTCTTGTAGTTCGTATTCTATGTTGACATCACAGCCATTCCCACTTTCCGAGGGCCAGCAATTAACTGAGGAGAAAAGCAAAGCAGTCACACTGAAACATCAGAAAGAGTGGAGGAAAGTTAGGATGGCAAAAGTTAGGAAAGCTGACTGACAGCTGCAGGCCTGAAACATCCTAATGTAAATTACATTTAAAAACAACAGTTTCAAGATTCACGCTATTAAAAATTGAAGTTAATTGTAATATACTAAATGCAGCACCAAGTCCATTTTGAAAGGTCATTTTGTCAGAAAGAACTTTGCTATGGCAATGAAGATAAAAGCATACAAGCCAGGTCTATTTCTAGTTCTCAATGTAGACTTGCTTAGTGGGACTAGCCAGAGGAACTTACTTGTCAGTGGAATAAAAGATTCCTCTGTAGTCTGTAGTCTCCACTTTAGCACCCCTACGTCACTGTTGACGGGAAATGACTTCTCTGGATTCTTCAAGCCAATTAAAGACTCTGCAGTGAAAAGTTTTTTATCCACATTTGGATGGGTCTGGAATGAGAAGGAAAACTTTAGAGGTGTTTCTGAAAACCAACCCCCCCGTGCTCATTATAGGGGAAAAAAATAGATATACTCTTGCCTCAAAAGACTTTGTCCTTGTGACAAGAGACAAGATTAATTACCTAAATAAAATATGGCAAGAACAACTGTAGTAATATAAAGATAAGAAAGGTTCAGGTTGGGCGCGGTGGCTCAGCCTGTAATCCCAGTACTCTGAGAGGCTGAGGTGAGAGGATTGCCTGAGCCCAGGGGTTCGAGACCAGCCTGGGCAACTTGGTGAGACCTCATCTCTACAATAAATCAAAAATTAGCCGGGTGTGATAGCACGTGCCTATAGTTCTGGCGACTTGGAAGGCTGAAGCGGAAGGATTGCTGGAGCCCAGCAAGTTGAGGCTGCGGTGGCCGGGAGTGTGCCACTGCACTCCAGTCTGGGCGACAGAGTGAGGCTCCAATTCAAAAAAAAAAAAAAAGTCTCAAATATATTCAGTAGTTGAAACATGCACATTTACTTTGTAAGGATTTATGTACCTTTGTTTTTTGGAGGGACAAGTGCACACTATCAAGCCCTGCCAATTTTTTTATTTTTTGTAGAGTTGAAGTCTCACTATGTTACCCAGTCTGGTCTCAGAGATCATGGGCATGAGCCACTGTGCCCAGTCTATGTTCTTTTTTTTTGCGCTGGAGACTCACTCTGTCACCCAGGCTGGAGTGCAGTGGCACACTGCTCACAGTCACCGCAGCCATGACCTGCTGGGCTCAGGCGAACCTTCCATCTCGACCTTCCAAATCAGCCACCATCCTCGGCTAACTTTTTTATTGTAGAGATGAGGTACTGCCATGTTGCTCAGGCTGGTCCCCAACTCCTGAGCTGGGGCAATCTTCTTGCCTCCGCCTCCCAATTATAGGCGTGGGCCATTGTGCCTGACTATGCTATTTTTTTTTTTTTTTTTTGAGTTGGAGTCTCAATCTGTAACCCAGACTGGAATGCAGTGGCACGCTCCTGGCCACCGCAGCCTTGACTTGCTGGGCTCCGGCAATCCTTCCGCCTCAGCCTTCCAAGTCGCTGGAACTACAGGTGCACGCTACCACACCTGGCTAATTTTTTTGATTTATTGTAGAGATGAAGTCTCACCAAGTTGCCCAGGCGGGTCTCGAACCCACGGGCTCAGGCAATTCACTCACCGTGGCCTCCCAAAGCACAGGATTACAGGCTGAGTCACTGAGCTCGGCTGACTATGCTATTTTCAAATACACCATTAGATACTGCCCTTCAATTAACAAAACAAACAATGGTAGTGTACGTAATGGCATACTGAGTAAATTTCATGTCATGCTTGTTTTAATAAAATACCTATTTATTAAGTCTTAAGACCTTGGTTTTCTTCCTAAACTATATTTCAAGCAAGATCCTAAGTTAATTTATTCTTTCAATTATAGCAAAAGATAAACATCTCTGCATCTTTTGTTAGTATGAGCTCACTTATTAGATTTTTAAATGTCCTTTCATTCAATTTGAATATTAAAAAGCCATCTTAGCCAGGCACGGTTACTCATACCTGTAATTCTAGCACTTTAGGAGGCTGAGGTGGGAGGATCACTTGAGCCCAGGAGTTTGAGACCAGCCTAGGCAACATAGCAAGATCCTGTCTCGATTAAAAAAAAAAAAAAAAAAAGGAATAAGCTGGGCATGGTAGTGCATGCCTGTAGTTCTAGCTATTTGGAAGGCTGAGGTGGAAAGATCACCTAAGCCCAGCAAGTCAAGGATTTGGTGGCTGTGAGCATGCCATTGCACTCTAGCCTGGGTGACAGAGTGAGACTCTGACTCAAAAAAAAGCCATCCTAACACAGCTGCTGTCAAATACTCTCAGTATCCACTCTGTGTGCTAAATTAACTTCTTTTCTATGCATTTAGAATGACATTAGTTATATAACAAGTTATTTTCTGTGTTCTGCAGTTCATATGAGAAACTCTAGTTGGAAAAGGCTGTTCTACATAGACAAAGTCTTAGTACCCTGATCAAAAGCTTCTACAAACCTGCAGCTGCACCCCTTTCTTATCTTCATTTTCCACATGAAGACGAATTCGGCCAAATTTGTCATCTGAGATCCTAAGCATGATCATGCCATGCAACTCCATATTCTGTAATCCTCCATCTCGTCCACAGGTTAGTGTAATCTTTTCTTCAATCTTCATATGTACACTATAAAGAAAAAGGAATACATTTGACCAGAAGGGCAGAAATCAGAACTCCCTTCCTCCAAGGTTTAATGGTGATCGGCCATCAACAACTTTTTTTAAAAGGTGCTACTGCCATAGCTATCAAAATTTAAAGCATTATGCTCTCTCTTTTTTTGAGACACAGTTTCACTCTGTCATACATGATGAAATGCAGTGACATGATCCCGGCTCACTGCAGCCTTGACCTCCTGGACTCAAGTAGTCCTCCTTCCTCAGTCTCCTGAGTAGCTGGGACTAACAGGCATGTGCCACCCTGCTTCAGCTAATTTTTAAATTTTTTTTTTTTTTTGTATCTCATTCTGTTGCCCAGACTGGAGTGCAGTGGCCACTCCCGACCACCACAGCCTCGACCTGTGGGCTCTGGTGATCCTTCCGCCTCAGCCTTCCAAGTAGCTGGAACTACAGGCGTGCGCTACCACGCCCAGCTAGTTTTTGATTTATTGTAGAGATGAGGTCTCGCCAAGTTGCCCGGGCGGGTCTTGAACCCGCGGGCTCAGGCAATCCACTCACCTCAGTCTCCCAAAGCGCGGGATTACAGGCTGAGCCACCGAGCCCGGCTTTTAAATTTTTTCATAGAGACAAGGTCTCACTATGTTGCTTGACTTGAACTCCTGGGCTCAAGCAATTCTCTGGCCTCAGTTTCCCAAAGTGCTGGGATTATAGATGTGAGGCACCATGCCTGGTCAGCCTTATACCCTTTGATTCAGCAATGCCCCTCTAGAACTTACCCTACAGTTAAATTTTCACATGTGCAAAACAGTGTACTAAGTTATTCACTGAAGAATTGTTTGTAATAGTAAAGGTTTAGAAATAACTTAAATGTCCACCAATAGGGGGATACTTAAATAAGCAAAGGTATATCTATATAAATGAATACTATGCAACTGTAAGAAAATAAATAATTTTTTAAACTTTCTATTTGAAAATATTTTCAAACTTTAAACAACTTAAATATAAATTATACAAAAAATACATAAACACCCTTTACCCAGATTTACCTATTGTTAACATTTATCCCTTTTATCATGCGTATTTGTGTACTCTCTCTAAATACTACATATGTATGTATATGTTTGATTTTGTTCCCCTGAATCATTACAAGGCAGGTTATATACATTATGGCTCTTTATGCATAAATACTTCTTTTTGGAGGAACATATTCTCTTACATAACCACAGCACCATTATCAACTTCATAAATGTACATTAATACAATACTTTTTCTTAACATTTTAAAAAAAGAGAGACAGGATCTTACTATATTGTCCAGGCTGGAGTGCAGTGGCTATTCACAGGAATGACATAAGTACATTGCTGTCTTGAACTCCTAGGCTCACGTAATATTCCTGCTTCAGCCTCCTGAGTAGTTGGGATTATAGGCACACACCATAGCACATGGCTAATACTAATATAATACTTTTATCCAACCTACCATCCACAAGCCAATTTGGTCAGTTTAATAGTATGTTTTTTATAGTAGTTTTATATATATATACATATATATATGTATATATATAATTTTTGTTTGTTTGTTTGTTTTGTTTTGTTTTGAGTTGGAGTCTCACTCCGTCGCCCAGACTGGAGTGCAGTGGCTGCTCCCGGCCACTGCAACCTCGACCTGCTGGGTTCCAGCAATCCTTCCGCCTCAGCCTTCCAAGTAGCCGGAATTACAGGTGCACGCTACCACGCCCGGCTAATTTTTTTTTGATTTATTGTAGAGATGAGGTCTCGCCTGTTCAGGCGGGTCTCGAACCCGCGGGCTCAGGCAATCCACTCACCTCAGCCTCCCAAAGGCACGAGATTACAGGCTGAGCCACCGAGCCTGGCATAGTAGTTATATTTTTTTAATAAAACATACAATGTGATTCATAAGACAACCCTAAAGTAAAGAAGAAAACAAAGCTTTTTTTCCTATTTTTCAATAACATGCCTACAGAAACATAACAAGGGCAATGGGAGTTGTGAACCAGGAACTATGGATAAAAACATATATATACTTATTTTAAAAAATAACTTTAGGCCTCAGGAGCAGGCCTGAGAAAACAGAATCAATCTCTATGACCTTCTTCTGCCTTCTTTTTATCAACTCAAGGCGGGACTCTAATCTTCAAAGGGGGTCTTGCCCCATATCCTGTAGGAAAGAATGCTAGAGAGAGGCCAAGAAGACTCTGAACAGACAGGCCTTGCTGGGTTTTTCCACTCAGCCTATTAGTATTAGATCATACCCTTTTTGCCCAGTCACAATTCTATGTGGTTGTCAATCGTACCTATTCAAATGAAGTCTCCATAAAAAGCCCAAGAGGAGCTGGGCTTGGTGGCTCAGCCTGTAATCCCGTGCCTTTGGGAGGCTGAGGTGAGTGGATTGCCTGAGCTCGTGGGTTCAAGACCCGCCTGGGCCGCAAGACCTCATCTCTACAATAAATCAAAAAATCAGCCAGACGTGGTAGCACATGCCTGTAATTCCGGCTACTTAGAAGGCTGAGGCGGAAGGATTGCCGGAGTCCAGCAGGTCGAGGCTACGGTGGCCGGGAGTGGCCACTGCACTCCAGTCTGGGCGACAGAGTGAGACTCCAACTCAAAAAAAAAAAAAAAAAAGCCCAAGAGGACAAGGTCCAGGGAGTTGAACATGTGGAAACTCACAGTAAACAAGACCTTATCCACTTGCTGGGAGGGTGTCACACCCCAATTCCACAGGGACAGAAGCTCCTGCACTAGGGACCCTTTCAGACCCTGTCCTATGTATCTCTTCCTCTGGTTGTTTATTTATATCATTTAAAATATCCTTTGTAATAAACCAGTAAATGTAAGCTTCCCTGAGTTCTGTAATCAGCTGTAACAAAATTAATCGCACCCAAAAAGGTGGTAGTGGAAATCCCAACTTGAAGCCGGTTAGTCTTATACAAGTAAACTTGTGTCTGCTGGGAAGGAGGGGGCAGTCTTAGGGACAGAGCCCTCTACCTGTGGGATCTGAGGCTATCTCCAGGTAGACAATGTTAGAACTTAATTGACTCAGAGGACATCCAGCTAGTGTCCACTACTTGGTGTGTGGGGAAACTTCTCCTGACATTTGGTCACAGAAGTCTTCTGTGTTGAATGTTGTTGAGTGAAAGAAAAATTGTAGTATAGAAGTAGTAGTATAGAAGCCAGCTTAGAATAAGGTATTACATTTAGATGTCATGTCTTTACAGTTTCAAATAAGGAAATTCTTATCTCCAAAATAATTAAACGAAAAATACAACTGGAGAACGTGTCTAATACGTGCTACTACTTCATATAAAAAGGGAAAAGATAGATGTACTGTATATGCGCATTTTTATTCATCTGTACATCATATTATCCCCCTCAGAAGTATACACAAAAAACTAGTTAATACTAGTTGCCTCCAAATGAAAAATTTGGCTAAGTGCAGTGACTCACACCTATAATCCCAGCACTTTGGAAGGCTAAGGCAGGATGACCACCCGAGGCCAGGAGTTGAAGACCAGCCTAAGCAACATAGTGAGATCCCATCTCTACAAAAAATAAAAATAAAAAACTAGCCAGGTGTGGTGGTGCATGCGTACAGGTCTAGCTACTCAGAAAGTTGACGTGGGAGTATAGCCTGAGACCAGGAGTTCAAGGCTGCAGTGAGCCATGATCATACCTCTGTACTCCCAGCCTGGGTGACAGAGTAAGATCCTGTTTCAAATAAAAGAGAAATTTGCTTGGCTGGGTGGGTGGAAGACTTTTACTGTAACACCTTTTAAACCTTTTGAATTTTATACTATAAATTTATCACCTAATTTTAAGAAACAAGATTAAAAAGTACTACTGCTATGAGCAATTATTAAGTATATCTATCCACAGGCTGCAACATAATTATTTTTAGCTGGATGAATGTACAGGCTACAAAGAATATTTTGGTATCCTACTCTGTTCTTTGTTCCAACTCTAGATCTTCCCAGAGACTCAAGACCACAAAGGAGTGAATTTTAAGACAAGATAGGGTCCCGTTTTACTTTCACAAGAGTTTGCTCTGTGCTCAGGAGGTGTTTCATCATTTAGAAGAGCCTCAAGTTCTCTTTAATATGTGATGGTCTGAAGAGCCTCAAGTTCTCTTTAATATGTGATGGTCTTCAACAGCTTTTTAAAAGTGTGGCCAGGTACGTGGCTCACTCCTGTAATCCTAGCACTTTGGGAGGCCGAGACAGGAGGAATGCTTGAGCCCAGGAGTTCCAAACCAGCCTAGGCAAAATAGCAAGACCTCATCTCTGCAAAAAAATTAGCCAGGCGTAGTGACACACACCTATAGTCCCAGCTACTTGGGAGGCTGAGGCAGGAGGATCGCCTGAGGTCAGGAGGTCAAGGCTGCAGTGAGCTATGATCATGCCACTGTACTCCAGCCTGGGCGACAGAATGAAACCCCTGACTCAGAAAAAAAAAAAAAGTGAAGCCTCTGACTCAAAGTAACCACTAGGAATAGCACAGGAGTTTCAGTGAATCAAAAGATTTATCCTGGTATAACCTTATTCATTTCATACAGAACTGACATATAAGGAATAAATACTCCTCTTTTATGCACACCTGATAGAGGCATCCTCCCAGTCTCATCTTTCACTTGACCTCAAAACCATCAGCAACAGTAGAAGTTCTGGGCTTTAAGACAAGAAATCTGAGTCATGAATATGTGAACTTGGTAACTACCACTTAAAATGTCACCAACTAGTACCACAGCCCTGAGATAAGAGGCAAATCAAAACATTCCACAGAGGATTCTAGTACTTAAAATGCAAAGATAATATGTTAATTTTCTGTTAAAGATACTTACAAATTTTGAATTAAAGATTGGTTTTGCTTATATATTTTAATTAGAAAAAGATATGCCAAGAATATAATGTGGGGTTACCATAGCTCTAACCCTTCAATTCAAATCCATTCTAAGTCACAAGCTATACACCAGGCATGAAGACAAGTTATTTTTGTTTAATTTAGCTGACAAAAGGCAAGTTCTAAACTTCATAGAAAATAGATGGCTGAGAGCCCCCAATCGTGATTAAAGAAAAAAGAAAAAGGCCCAGTATGGTGGCCCAAATTCCAGCTTCTCAAGAGGCTGAGGTGGGAGAATTACTTGAGCTCAGAAGTCAGAGGCCAACCTAGGCAACATTGGGAGACCCAGTCTCTTAAAAACAAAACAAAACAAAAAACCAAAATAAAAGACCTTATGTTAACATTAACATGTAGAATATACTCTGAATAAATCTTTAAATCAGCAAAGATTAAAAGGTACAAAAAATATTTTATAGCACACTGAAATAGAGTTCTTAAAAAATGATGTGGTCTGTTCTTACTGAAAGTTACTACTTACCTTTCCATATTAATGGGTGGAGCAAGCACTTTGGTTGCTTCAGAGGTACGCTTGCCCATATTAGAAGACATGATAGTTTCACCTTCAGATTTCAATTTGTCCACAAAGTTATCTACTTCCTTTCCTTTAGCTCCAAGTTTCAAAGCCTTGCTGGGGCCTGAAGGCCTAAGTGGAAGAATTCAAAATAAGAACAAATATATGACTAAAAAAAAAAAAAAAACAACAAACCCAACATTTTCATTAATGACCCCATATCAATGAAGCTTTCACTGAAGCTGTTCTTTAAGAGAAATGTAAAGACCTCGAGGGAAAAAACCCAAATTTCATAGCAGTGGAAAACTAAACTATTTATGGTCTAATATATGAACCCGCTCAAACTGTCAACTGACAGTTACTATTAACATGCAAGTTTCATTACCCAAAACCCAGAAGTATATTTTTATAAGCACATATGAGTTGATAAAAATTTTGTACCTAATATCCAGAGAAAACTGTGTGTACAAACAAAAAATTTTGCATATAATTTTAGGTAATTCACATATTCCCCCTGAAATCAATTATTGAACACCAAGGCTAAAAATTCACATTCCATAAAGATTTAATGTCCCTTTCCTCCCCACAATAAGGCAACTCTCATAGGAAATTGAGGTCATGACACAAAAGGAAAAGCATCACATTCAGATTTCTCCTGTATCTCCATATTTTACATAGCAATTTAATATCATATCTTACTTCATTGAGTCCTTCATTATTTACAGCATGCCAAGAAATCAGATATCACTCCAAACGTACACACATACATCCTTCAGCTGGCATTCTAAAGTTGCTGGTAATACACTGGATTTTACCTCGCTGGTGCAGGTGCCACCTTTGGTTTATCCGTTTCAATGATGGTCTCTGTGATCATGGCAGCTGTACTGCCTCCAGATACTGCAGAGCTGCCAAATCCCCCAAATCCTGGTGCTTTTTTGCCCTGTCTCTCTGCATCTCTTCGGGCTTGTTGTAATTCCTTTGCTTTACGCCGCATCTCAGCCTTAGCTTCACGTTCTTGAGTCTATAGAAAGAGACAAAAATGGATGTAGCTTTGGATACAGTTGACATTAGCAAGAAAGAAAAGGAAAATCAGATTAGTGAAGACTAAGAGAAAGACACACCAACTGGCAGTCTCCAAGAAGACCCTATTTACCTCTCTGACTGCTCGGAACACCTTCTCCTCATGAGAATCCATTTCTGTGAAGGTTCTGATCTGTGCCAGATTAACATTCTCTCGGTATCCCAGGGCAACAATTTCATCAAAAGCAAAAATCAAATCAAAACAGTGTTCAGATATTTCATTCTCCTCTAAGGCTCGGCAATATTCAGGGATCTAATCATGGAGAGCAATGAAAAAGAAAGACTTAGAATTTATTAGCAGCTATGTTCTCAAGTCTTATCCTTTAGTACTCTTGAAGTATACAATGTGGAATAAACCTGAATTCCTTTCTTAGGTCTATCTAGTCTTTATATTTCATGTTGCCCAGGTTGGAGTGTAGTGACTATTCACAGGTATGAGCATAGTACACTTCAGGCTCAAAGGCCTCATGCAATCCTCCCACCTTATCCTCCTCAAGCAATCCTCCCATATCCTCCTGAGAAGCTGGAACTACAGGCACATGCTACTGCCCCTGGCCTTAGTCTTAATTTTAAGCAAGACAATGGCATAAAGTCTTTTAGTTTGTGTGTGTGTATGTGTCTTTATGAGTAAGTCTTTTTTTTTTTTTTTTTTTTTGAGTTGGAGTCTCACTCTGTCACCTAGGCTGGAGTTCAGTGGCACATCCACAGCCACCACAGCCTCCACCTGCTGAGCTCAGGCGATCCTTCCGCCTCAGCCTTTCAAGTTGCTGGAACTACAGACGCATGCTAACATGCTCGGCTTATTTTTTGATTTATTGAAAATGCTGGGATTACTGGCTTGAGCCACCATGCCCAGCCAATAAGTCTTTTTTTTTTTTTAAGTTGGAGTCTCACTGTTGCCCAGGCTGGAGTGGAGTAATACAGCTACCTCAGCTTTCACCTGCTGGGTTCAGGTGATCCTTCCACCTCAGTTTTGTTAAGTAGTTGGAACTACAGGTATGTGCCATCACACCTGGCTAATCTTTTTTTTTTTTGACTTGGAGTTTCATTCTGTCGCCCAGGCTAGAGTACAGTGGCACACTCACAGTCACCACAGCGTCGACCTGCTAGACTCCGGCGATCCTTCTGCCTCAGTCTTCCAAGTAGCCAGAACTACAGGCGTGTGCTACCATGCCAGCAAAATTTTTTTTTTTTTGAGTTGGAGTCTCATTCTGTCGCCCAGACTGGAATACAGTGGCACGCTCCCGGCTACCGCAGCCTCCACCTCCTGGGCTCCAGTGATCCTTCCACCTTAGCCTTCCAAGTAGCTGAACTACAGGTGCATGCTACCACACCCGGGTAATTTTTTTTATTTATTGTAGAGATGAGGTCTCGCCCAGTTGCCCAAGCAGGTCTCGAACCCGTAGGCTCGGGAAGTCCATTCACCTCGGCCTCCCAAAGCGCGGGATTACAGGCTGAGCCACCGAGCCCGGCTGCCAACAAATTTTTGATTTATTGCAGAGATGAGGTCTTGCCAAGTTGCCCGAGCTGGTTTCCAACCTGCAGGTTCAGGCAATCCACTCGCCTCAGCTCCCAAAGTGCTAGGATGGCTAAGCCAACGACCCCGGCCTAATTTTTTTTTTATTTTAATTTTTTTAGTTGGAGTCTCACTCTGTTGCCCATGCTGGAGTGCAGTGGCACATTCACAGCCACTGCAGCCTCGACCTGCTGGACTCAGGCAATCTTTCCAACTCAGCTTTCCAAGTAGCTGGGACTACAGGCACACCACCAGGCTAGCTATTTTTTTTTTTTTAATTTACTATAGATACAAGGTCTCACCAAGTTGCCCAGGCTGGTCTCAAACACCTGGGCTCAGGCAATCCTCTAGCTTTGTCCTCCCAAAGTGTTAGGATTATAGGCATGAGCCACTGCATCCGACTTAAGTCTTAATTTTAAAACATTATCTAAAAAACATGGCCAAACAAGTGTCAGAAACACAAAGATAGGTTAGAATAACTGCTTACAAAGTGGGAAATGAAAGTATAGCTCTCATTTCTCTTTTGGGCTATGTATAGCCCAATAAACATTTGCTGAATGAACAAGGAGCTGTAGCAGTAAGTGGCAGGGGTGGAAAGTGGGAGCCTGCAAACGAATAAGCATCAGCTACTTTGGAGGAAAAACCAGTTTCACACAAAAATGTAAAACAGAAAGTAGAACCCAGTATTATAGCAGGACTCTTACCACTCTTGAGAAGAGCCTTAGTGTCTCCAAATCTTCTAAAATGTTGCTGTTTTTGGTGGTGATCAGCACCATATACAGTTTCTCCATAGGCTGATAGACATATCTTACACTCTCTGTTTCAACAAACGTATGTTGTTTTCCAGTGTTCATGAGCTTTGGAAAAGCTGCTAATAAGCCCTCAATTCGAGTTCGGGTCATCTCCACAAACTGTCGAGAAACAATAGCCTTTCCTGCTTTCGTGCAGACTGCTGCTGCCAACAGCACCTGCCAGGAACATATGCATAAATAAGTACTAAGTATTTCTTCACATCTGTTTTCTTAACATTTTAGGAGATCTTCCACAGAATGACACACTCAGTTATTCAATAACAGGACTACTATTAGAATAGTGATTTTCAAACTCTATTTTACTCCTTTTTTAATATATGTCACAAGACAAATATAAAGTAGAGGAAAACAAAGCTTTTATTCCTAGTTTTCAATAACACATTTGTAGAAAAACTTATTAAAGAAATCATGCTTTCCAAGACTACATATACATTATTAATCAGTCCCCTGTGAATCAGTCCCCTGCTTTGGCAGACCCATAAAGAATAGTTTAAAGCTGTTTCTAAAAAGAAGAGATTTCCACAGCCAAAACAGAGGTGTGATCAGATGAATTAAAAACGTAAGAACTTTCCCTTCTTTTTTTATCTATAATATGAACCCAATCTACTGAGTCTAATTTTATCTTCCACTCTTTAACTAACTTTCCATTCACACTATCCTATTCCCAGACACTCAAACAATCTATAAAATGAAAACCTCAATGACCCAATGTTTCACATAGGTTTTGACACCAGGCAATGATCAGGACCTAATGGCCTTCTTTTAGCATCTGCATTTCACTAAACAAATAGAGCACCAAAGGAAGAATGGGAGACCTCAAACGCCATTATTACCAGGGGAGTAAGAAAATTAAGTACAGTGTTAACAGTCTCTTCAGTGCAGGAAACCAAGAGTTCACAAGCACAATTAACAAAAAGGCTATTTAATCACTTGGGAAGCCTCAATGCTAGTACACAATCTCTGAAATATCAAAATCCAACTGGTCAGGCTTCTCAACTTTATGGAAACCTGTCCCCTACAAGTGAATAGCTTGAGGAAAAAACAAGTTAGTCAATTTGAATAAATATATATATTTTTGAGTTGGAGTCTCATTCTGTCACCCAAGCTGGAGTGTAGTGCCACACGCTTGGCCACCACAGCCTCAGCCCACTGGGCTCAGGCAATCCTTCTGCCTCAGCCTTCCAAGTAGCAGGAACCACAGGCATGTGCCACCATGCCCGGCTGATTTTTTGTTTTATTGCAGAGACGAGGTCTCACCATGCTGCTCAGGCTGGTCTCGAATCCCTAAGCTCAGGCAATTCTCTTGCCTCTGCCTCCCAAAGTGCTGGAATTACAGGCATGAGCCAACGCATCTGGCTGAATAAATATTTTTATAGTTTCAATACATCAATAGCTTTATAATATTACAGGAGAACACTATGTCCTTATCCATCAAGAATAGGTAATTGGGGTATCTGGGAAACAAATACCATCATGTTTATTTCCAACCAGCAAAGTTAAAACAATTTTTTTTTTTTGAGTTGGACTCTCACTGTCGCCCAGACAGGAGTGCAGTGGCACACTCCCGGCTACCACAGCCTTACCCTGCTGGGCTTCGGCGAACCTTCCACCTCAGCCTTCGAAGTAGCCAGAACTACAGGTGCAGGCTACCACACCCGGCTAATTTTTGATTTATTGTAGAGACGAGGTCTCGTCAAGTTGTCCAGGCTGGTCTCGAACTCACAGTCTCAGACAATCCACTCACCTCGGTCTCCCAAAGTGCTGGGATTATAGACTGAGCCACCAAGCCTGGCCTTTTTTTTTTTTTTTTTTAAATTGGAAGCTGGGCTCGGTGGCTCAGCCTGTAATCCCATGCAACTCAAAAAAAAAAAAAAAAAATTGAAGTCTCACTCTGTCACCCAGGCTGGATGGAGTGCAGTGGTATGCTACTGGTCACCGCAGCCTCGACCTGCTGGGCTCAGGCAATCCTTCCGCCTCAGTCTTCTAAGTAGCCGGAACTGCCAGCATGCTACCACGCCCAGCTGATTTGTTTTTTAATTGTAGAGAAGAGGTCTCACTATGCTGCCCAGGTTGGTCTCGAACTCGCAAGCTCAGACAATCCTCCCGCCTTGGTCTCCCAAAGACCTGGAATTATAGGCTTGAGCCACAGCACCCGGCCAGTAAAAATAATTTATGCTAAAAAAAAGTATTTCATTTATATCTTCCACAAATAATTTCCCTCTACTGAACAATTTTTTTAAAAACTGATTGATGTACTTCCAATGAACATGGGCAGGTTTTCTCATGGGAAATCACTTATAGAGATAACACACATGTGGCCCTCGGTATATATGGAGACCTTTCCTAGGACTCCTATCCATATATATCAAAATATGTGCATATTCAAGTCCCACAGTCAGCTCTGCAGAACCCATGAATATTCCACAATACTGTTTCTGTTTTTGTTTGACTCGAGGTCTCACTCTGTCACTCAGGCTAGAATGCAGTAGCATGCCATGACTCACGACAGCCTCAACTTTCTGGGTTCAGGTGATCCTTCAGGCTCAGGTGATCCTTCTGCCTCAGCCTCCCGAGTAGCTGGAACTACTGGCATGTGCCTCTTTGTCCTGCTAATTTTTTAGTTTTTTGTAAAGACAAGGTCTCACTATGTTGTTCAGTCTGGTCTCAACCTCTTGGGTTCAAGTAATCCTCCCACCTCAGCCACGCAAAGTGCTAGGATTATAGGTGTGAGCCACGGTGCCCAGCCAGCAACACTGTATTTTTACTAAGAGTTTAGCTGAAAAAATCCACACGTATAAGTGGGCCCACACAGTTCAATTGTGTTGTTCAAAGGTCAACTGTCCTACTAACAGCTCCATTTCCCAAATAACAACCCAAATTCTGAAGGAAGCATATTTAAGGGAGTGATACAATTCTGCTTATGTTTCTATCAACTCTACATTCAAACTTATATTAATTTTCTCAGTTTGAAGTTGCTTTTATGCTTTATATAATAAAGAACATTTTTAAAACATAGTCTTAAATCACAAATAAATACTCTCAATATTCTAAAAAAACTCTTGTCTTATAATTCCTTTAAAAAAAAAATCAGAAAATGTTTTAGATATACAGAAAGGTATAGAGTATAAAATTCACCAGTTACTTATAGAATGTCAAATAAGTTAGCTTTAAAAACATAGCCACTTTTTTCTGATTTATTTACAAAAATTTTTAAATAAATAGTTTTGTACTTAAGAAATGCATTTTTCACCGGGCTCAGTGGCTCAACCTGTAATCCCGCGCCTTGGGAGGCTGAGGTGAGTGGATTGCCTGAGCCTGCGGGTTTGAGACCCGCCTGGGCAACTTGGAGAGATCTCATCTCTACAATAAATCAAAAATTAGCCAGGCGTGGT